TACTATATTGTGTCTTTTTACCATATTTATGACTCGGACTCAGTGATAGTTTCTAAGATGTAGGCGTGAACAGATCAGAACACTGTATAACCATAAACCATATAACCATAAAAGTTAGAATTAATTGTAAGAAAAAAGGAAAATACATGGATACTCACTAAGTGGAAACTGCATAACCACTAATAAGAAAGCAAAACATGTTTACTTCCAGAGTACTGCAAAAAGTCATCCTCCTGTTGGAAAACATTAATTTGATTGATAACTTCAAGAAAGCAACTGAGGGAACTTCCCTTGTTCCTCTGCTGCCAGTCACAAAAAACTCCCCTTTTTTTTTGTTGTTTAAAAACAATGTGACAATTACACAGGATCTCAAAATCTGATTCCATGACAGATTATCATCAGCAGTAAGCAAGTGTTTAATCGCATTGATTTCAAAAGTAAAACACTGCTCCCATTTAAATCAGTGGAAAATGACAGCAATTTCACAACTCTAGCTGAGCTAAGAGATATTTAATGCAAAGCATATAAAATTATCTAACTAAACAGGGGTACAACTTGCCAGATGAATGTATTCAGTATACTGTATCTTTATTGTGTTATGTGAAGTTTGCTGAAATGCATTTGGTATCTATACAATACAGAAAATTTAGATCTAGGGCTGGAAAAGCAGTTCTGGAAAAAAAGACCAGCAGCCTATCATCCTGTTGCAAATCTTTTATTCCCTGTGGATAGCTGGCCCTATCACAAAAGCTTGCCATAACTGGCATTTATTCACATACCTTTTTCACAGCCTGCCTAGCCTTTTGCTTGGTCCTGGAATTAAACTTACGCCATTCCAGAAGCTTCTACTTGTTTTACCTAACCCTTCCAGAGGGTAGAGGAAGATGCCCATATACTTAACAGGACACGGTTTTATGCCATACTTTTGGACCAGGCAGAAAAACAGTGACTCTGAAAACTCCTGTGCAGGTTCTTCCTTGAAGCATTTCCAGCCTCATTTTTCTCTCCTGAAGTGGTTGGGAGACACCCTGTCAGGATCACAAGGTTTATTAAAATACAACCCACAATACCGCCGATACTGGCTAAAACACTACAGTGACTAACAAACAGTGTGTTCATGACTCATGGAAGTCTATGGGAACAGATTTACCTTCTGCTTTCTCATTTAAAGAAGGGCTATGTTTCTGACGTTGGGTTTTAATGTACAAATTGCTAACCTGTCACCCTTTGGAACAGACTTTTTTTAGATCGCTATGAAAAGCAGGCAAGGTTGCTACAAAATGCACACCATTTTATTCCCTTGCAAATTAAAGACAAACTAATCCCCTTTTGTCCTTTGACATCAGGCATTTTCTCTCAACTGGCAGAAACACACCCAATGCCTCCCTATTTTTGTAACTGATACACTCTATTTATTAATTTCACAGAGGATTGTAGCAAAGCAAAAAAATATTTTCAGACTGAATAAAATATGATTAATCCCTACTGCTTGTGGAGACTGACTCCTGCCAGCGCTAAGACTTCAGCTTGCAGTGAAAAAACATTGATGCTGGAAGGTCCAGCTGATTGCAAATACCTGGTACAAAGATTCTGTCCTCTTTCATCCCTGTATAACAGCCAGTGCACCAGAAGCCAGGAAATTTGAAAATGTCTCTGCTCATTGGAGGGGGGGTTCACTAGATGATCTTCCAACCAACCCAAACAATTCTATGATTCTATGATAAATTGGATGTTCCAGGGGTGAGACTCTTCAACAGTCTTCCTTTACCCAGGTGACATGCAGTGCTTCTCATTCTGAAGGCCAACATGTACGGTGTAGCTGACAGTGAAATTTTCATCTTCACTACCAAAATGTCATCCTTAAATAACAGGAGGAGCAGGTTCTAGATGGTTTGCACAGCCCAGCTAGCACAGAGCAAATATATGGGCATTCGCCATATGTAAAGGGAATGCCCACAGTAGAGCAGCAATGCTGCCTCTCCCTTCACTCACACTGTGCATGGGAGCAGTCAGAAGAAAGGGAGAGGGCTGGAGTTCCTCCAAACGATGGTGATTCCTGCATAACAGAATAGATTATATATTAACCTGGACATCAAAGTGTAAACTGATGTTGGACAGTAATAAATCACCATAAAGGCTTGTGTCAAACAGTCCCTTTTACATTAAGCCATGAAATACATGACTAGAAACTTTTATATTTATCACTGTTACTCATTTCTTACTGTTGAAGAGAGAATAACCATGCATTTAAGACACCGACTGCCTTTTCCATTATTATATTGGTACCACCAAGTTATCCTCATCTGCACCAGTTTTCCTCAGTGAAGTCACTGATTTAACTGGGCTTACTTCTGATTTGCACAAGCATAACTAAACAGAAAATCAGACAACTAGTTTGCACGAATAATTCTCCCTCCTCTCCCTCCTCGATGACCCTGCAGCAATAAAGTACTCTGCATATGGAATAAATGAACATTCAATGCCATCTGCTGGGGTACACAAAACTCTGCAATACCAGGCTCATGCAGTATCCAGAACTTAAAAGTACAACAGTGACAAATGTAAAGAGGCTGTTCTGGTAAAGTCTGGCCTCTTTCACAGCTGGAAGGGAGGGTTGCTGCCCATCCTTCTCACTCTTCAACATAGGGTATAACACCTGGACCAAATGTGGGTTTGGTTTTAACTCTCTCCTTGCCACAAAAGCATTCAAGTCCACAACTCTCCCTTCCTCCTAAGCATTAGAGCATGCTGTAATTATATATTATAGGTTAAACTTAAGAGAAAGACTTTCATGCTCTATGTCTAAAATCAGGCTATTATGTAGCCATAGATGCAAGACTGGTGAAGCCAGTCAGCCTAAGCAAGGATTGCTTCAACAGTGCAGAACAAGAGCACATACTGGGCAAGGACATACCATGGCTGCTTTGCATTAAACAGTCACTGGATTAAATGTGTAAATCAGATTAAGGGCAGAACTTGGCAGCCTCTACTCAAGTGAACTCACTCTCCTGTTCACCAGCAATTTGGCCCTGTAACTCATGCTCTCCTGGCTATACCACGAAACAACTTCCATGGCCTGATGGCCACTACCTGGTAGCTGGAATGTTCTCAGTTTTGGACAATGCGAATTTAGAGCTTCTCAAGCTGAAACCAGAACTCCAATTTCCTGGGCAAATGCTGTGCTACCAAAGAGAAGACACCAGCACAACGCATTTTCCAGTTCAGTCTTGAAAGCAGAAGATCAGATTTTGTTCTGCCACTAAGGGAACAAGATATGTTTCTATGCAGAAGTGAGATTTCCAGACCAGGATCTCCAAGCTAACTGGCGTGAGCCCTTACCACTGTTCTGAGTTGTGCACCAAGGAACAAATCTCAGAAGAGAGAGAGGAGTTCAAGCACATCCTTCTCTGGGTATTTTCTGTGGGCAGGCTTAGACATGCTACTGGTTGTGAATCCCATTTCCACACAGCTACTTCCTCATGCATGGCATTTGTCAACAAATTCATGGGTGGATTTGCTTCATCTCCTTCATTTTAGAATCTGTAAAATACTGTGCAGTTGGAAGATTATTATTGCTTTATATACATTATTAGCTACTGTATCATTTTCTCCAGAATGACACCTGCTGACATTTTTTCTCCATTTCATACAGAAAACAAAAGAACTATTCCTGCTAATACCTGCAATTTTGTAAGTATCACCCTGTTCTTCCTAAAATTTTACTTTTTTTTCACTCCTTTACAGAAAATGTAATCTGGCTTTTTAATGCAAAATGATGCATGAGAATTTTGAAGTATATATGAGAACCTTTACTTTGTTTCAGTGGGAGCCAGGCTTGAGAAGTGACTCACTCACTTGTCAATTCTATACTTATGGTCTGAATCTAAAATACACCTTTATCATAAGATCATGTGAAAATAGCAGGATTCAATTTGAAAAAGTATGTAAGTCATAAACCTCATCGTTTAATATGCAACCAGGGCAAATGAAAGCTGAAAAGCTAACAGTACACATTTCAATGTCTTCCCATCTGTATCTGAAAGCCGGTTTTGAGTTTCAGCTCAGGCATATAAGAAAAGACTGAAAATACATTACAAGTCAGAAAGATGAAAAGAAAGCACAGGTCCATTGCTTAATAAGCAAGTTGAACAAGTAAAGGATGACTGGAGAGTTGGGCAGAGAGGAACCTGATGAAATTCAACAAGGGCAAGTGTAGAGTCTTGCATCTGGGGAAGAACAACCCCATGTACCAGTACAGGTTGGGGGCTGACCTGCTGGACAGTAGTGAAGGGGAAAGGGACCTGGGGGTCCTGGTGGATAGGAGGATGACCATGAGCCAGCAATGTGCCCTTGTGGCCAAGAAGGCCAATGGCATCCTAGGGTGCATTAGAAAGGGTGTGGTTAGTAGGTTAAGAGAGGTTCTCCTCCCCCTCTACTCTGCCTTGGTGAGGCCGCATCTGGAATATAAGTGCACAGACACATCCAGAGACATCCTGAGACACTGTCAGCACCACATTTCTGAGGACTCCACTTGCTATCATGTTCACTTGGACTGCACAGTTGCTAGCACAAATTCCCCAAAACAGTGCATGTTTTTACTTTAAAGTGTGACATTTTTGATGAGCTAGTTAATACGTTCTTGCAAGTAACATATGTAAACAGTCAGTACAATATAAATACCACATGGATAATACTATACTGAAAGGCACAGTTTCAAATGTCTGCAATGATCGTAAAATTAAACACTCTTATTATATTTTAAGAGTGGTGACAAGCCAAATTCAGTCAGAAATCTAAACTGTCTCCCAAATGGGTATTTTATTAATCTAAATAAAAAATTTAGATCCTCAATATCCTTGCTCAACTACTTTCCATCCCTTCAATTTCTCTGTGCACAAAAAAAAACCCTCTGGTTCTGGTAATCAAGCATTTCTAAACCTGAAATTAATTTTTAACTTAAAATTTATTTGTATTATCTGCATATCTCTTTTTCTATACAGAATGAAGATTTGAAAATCAAGGGCAAAAATGACTTACAATCTTCCTCCAAGGTATCTGAGGAAGAAGAGGGTGATTATGAGACTGTAAGTTCTTCCACTCTGGAGGCCATCCATGCTTTGAAAATTCTTCCTGCCAAACCTCTACAAGAATCCGAATATGCAGGTAATTCTTGCTGTCTGCAGGAAGTGAGACAAACCTGGAGGTAAACAGGAACAGTACAGATTTGGGGGTTTCAGTCTGGGTATTTTTTTAAATTAAATGGTTCAACGAACCAACGAATGGATCTTTCACAAACAAGCAAACTGTGGTAGGCAGGAAGAGAAGGGCTTTATCTGCATTTTCATATTCAACAGTTACCCTTATCTCCATTAGCTTATGTTAAATTAATAATTACATAGTCACAGAATCCCAGAACGGCTTGGGCTGGAAAGGACTTTAAAGCTCACCCAGTTCCAACTCCCTGCCACAGGCAGGGACACCTTCCAATAGATCAGGTTGCTCAAAGCTCTGTCAAGCCTGGCCTTGGACACTGCCAGAGATGGGGCAGCCACAGCTTCTCAAGGCACCCTGTGCCAGTGTCTCACCGCCCTCACAATGAAGAATTATTTCCTAATATCTAATCTAAACCTACGTCTACCCTCTTTCAGCAGTCTGATTTTCCATCAGACTGCCAAGCAGATCTGTTCATTACAGCTACATCTTGCAGATGACCCCATTTGTCACCCTCTTTTATTGATTTTTCATGACAACTGGTGAAATGCAGCAAGAATATTCTTTATGTGGCACACTGCTTTTGTGATTTTAATATTACCTTTGCAGGAGAAATTCTATGATCCCATTCCACCTGGAATGTGCAAAATAATGACTGTTTAACCCATAACCATTTCAGAAAAGCTCACTGCTATTTAAACCTAGAAAACTAGGATGGAAAACATATCAATGAAACTTCCCTCCAGATGATAATTTGCAGATGAGAAAACACAGTACTCTTTTTAAAGGCTTTCTCTGCCACTTTCAAGCGACAATAAGTAATTACTTGGAGTGTATTTCTCAGGCATTCTTAGCCTTGCAGGCTAGCTGCATTAATCAAGTTTGGGTTTACTAAAGCCATTCTAAGTCATATTTAATGCCCAAACATACATAACCAATTAATATCCCATTTATGGAAGTGAAATATCATCCTCACTATCCATGCTCAAAGCCATTATAAACACTCTGTGGAGGTTTTAAATCATTCAATAACTGGGGGGAAATCCAGGATCAATGTATGTATGAAAGCTTGCTCCAGTTCACATCAGAGTCAGCAAATATTTTTGTGGGAGTTTGATATTTAAAGCAAATAGGCCAATTTTAACACAAGAACATTTATTTGTGTGTGAGCAGATCACAATAAATCTGCGCATCCAGATATTTTCCATTATGTTCCACACACTCATTTGCATATTTTATGTGGAAATCGGAAGTAAATTCCAAATGCTGGTTTTATTTTGGTTAGTAGAAAAGACTTTCAGTCAGCATCTTTAGTTGCTTATGCAAGGCTGCCCTGAAATACCAAAATGACATCATTTTTGGTTTGTGATTTCAAAGAAAACACATTAATCAAAAAGCTCTATTTTGCCTGTGTATTACGCCCTGTAACTATAATGTGGCAGGACACAAGAGTGAGGAAAAGTTCTGAGAATGTATTTCAGAAAGGCAAAACTCAATGCTAACATCCCATTTTGCCATCTTTCCTAGACAGATAACGGTACACTTGAGATATAAAATTAATGATTCAAAACCCTGTGCTAGTGTGCAACCTGTGCATTCCTTTTAGATGGCCATGGGTGCAGTATTCATTAAAAGATGAACTGAAAATTGAAAAGCTCTTTAGAGAGTAAGCTACACACACACACACCTTGCAAAATCAGAAGAACACAATGGCATTACCAAGAACAAAGTTTCAAATGAAAAACAAATTCACTAATCTATTCACAGTTTAGGTCTAATGTCTGCCTTAACTGTGTACCAGCTTATGAAGACTTTTTTTTTTAACCACAATGAGGAGGTTAACCATGAAGGTTTTCCCAAGGTCATGCTTATGTCCTCAAAACAATAAAGCAACAGCTAATTTCTGAGAAGAAAAAGATTACAAAGCAATAAAAATGGCAAGATCTGACCTTCAAAACCTATTTTGAACATTAAAACCTCTTAAAATACTGTATTACTGAATTACTCAGCAATGCAATTACTTGATTTTTCTTCCTCTTTTTACAGATAAACGTTGTTTAAGGCCTTCAGGTACCACTTCCCCAGTGAACACTCAGCACACATCTCAGACCCCTCAGTCCTCAGCTGTAAGTAAAGATCTTAAACCCTATTCACAAATAGACTTTGATTTTCTGTACTATCATTTAAAGTTATGCGCAGCCTGTTTATAGTCTTAGCCACATAATATGCGCTTGTACAAGGTCACAGAAGTTCCTGTGAGCTGTTCCTGTTTCACTTCGCACGAACATCCTCACCACTTGCTTTCATTTTTTGACTCCTGGGGATCTACCAAGTATTAAGGGCACCCCACCCAGGAGCAGTGCCATTTCCACCAGGCATAGTTTCAAGGATGATGACTAACATCGTATCTTTATTTTGTTCTATTAACAGAAACACACATCTGTTCTGGAGGGGAGGAGCACACCAAATTTTAGAGGTATAATAAAAAAATCTACTTGTTTCTTCAATCAGAACTAGAAACTTTTGCTTCCATATTTAGCTTATCTACATAAGCAGAGATTGCAGATGATACAGTAGGCATGGCTTTCAGAACAGCAGCTGCTTTCCAGAATAGTCGTACGGCAATTTTCACAGTACTGTTTCAGCTATCTGACATCAAATTATTTGCAAAAGGAGACATATTTATCTTATGAGCTCCCTATTCCTTACGGGGGAGAAAATAAGCCATTCAATTTAATCATCAGGTTTTCCTTTTCCCTACAGTCATAAAGACATAATGGGGAGGTGCAGGGGAAGCCTGTGTCTCCTGAACTGTTCCACCAAAAGACTGCAAGATCCCTGCTATGCTTTACTTCTCATGATCTCATGGTTTTTGGCTCCTTATCCTTCTCAGGCATTTTGTATGAACACATTGTAAAGCATAATCTAATAATTATTTTTAAATAGTAATATCACCTTTAGCAATTCCTATTAAACATTTACATCCTAGGGTAACTATTTACAAATGCTATCTGACAATGTTCTCCTACTACGAATATGCTAATTATGTGGTACATCACCTACCTTATACTTTTTCTCCACCGTTTTATCTTTAACTTCAAATTTGCTTCAAAATCCTGTAATTTTGACTCAAAATTGTACCTTTAGTTTTTTTTTTCTTTTGTTTTATTTCTTGTGGAGAAATCAGAGACAGATTGCGCTCTTATTCTTCAAGAATCTAATGAGGTGTCCAACTATTAAATCCTTTAATTGATGGCTTTACTCAATCGTAAGATTATTTTAAATGTAGGTTTCCATAAACTTTTTATTCGATATACTTTAGATGTAAAACTATCTCACAAAGCCAACTACTGAAGGTTTAAATATCTGATTAACCTTGAAAAGGAATTATATTTTTTCTTATCATTTTCAAATCTTTGAACCACATGCTAAATAAATATGGTCAAAAGGAATGCAATCGCCAAGCCAGGAAAATATGATCCTTTCTACATTTGCTACAATGGCTGATTTTCTGAGAGTAACATTATACTTGATCAGCTAGAAAAATAATGCAAAGAATTCCATGCAAAACAGAATTTATCTTTTTCCTTTTAGTATAAAGGGTCAAATAATTCTTACAGGTTATGAGAAAATAAGCACTATAAAGCTTGCAAAATGAAAGGTCAGATTAACTGTTGTGAGCAAATCCTGATGCAGTTTGTAAAAAAGCTAAATTGAGAGAAATTTGAGTAAGTCAGCTTCAAAATCTGCAGAAATCAGTTGGCAAGGTCCCACTGACAGTTTGCCAGTTTAGATAAAGCTTCAAATTCCACCAGGATTTAGTAGGTTGGATCTACATGTTAGCCTGCCTCCATGAGATGTGTGCTGACATTAAGAAAGATGAGCCATAGACAGTGCAAGCAGGTAAAATAAACTCTGCAGTTTGAGAACACAACTTATGCATATTTTTAGTACATCCTGAGCTAATAGCGCTTATAGAAGACTATTATTTTCAGATAACAACTACACCATTATTCAAGGCTGGGACGGATGGAGTCTTGGGTGACATGGGTTAGTGCGAGGTGTCCCTGCCCACAGCAGAGGGGTTGGAAGTTGATGATCTTAAGGTCCTTTCCAACCCTATTCTATGATTCTGTCAATGAATGTCAACATTTGTCCTCCTGCCCAGTGCTATTAAGTGGCTTTGCCACAAGATGGCATGAACAGCACAGAAGAATTTTTGCAAGTTATTTTCTAGAATTGTTAAACATTTAAGGTACCATTATTTTATTACGGCCAATTTGTTATTGTTTACTTGAAGGAGAACTTAAGATACATTGCATCTCTGCTTGTGTTAGTTAGGATTTCAGTATGTAGGACTTATGAAAATATTTTCAGAATCTAAATCTAACACAAACAGAGTAAGATGGGAGGGTTTATTATTAAGATATCCTATGTTCATTTAAATAATCGGCCAATTTTGGTAGATTTCATTGCAAAAAGAAACAGATCTACTTTCGCTGCTTTTCAAGATTTTTATAAATTTCTATGCAAAAAAAAAATCAAAACAGGCAAAAAAAAATGCATCCCAAAAAACTTGATAGGATGCATATATAAAGTCTTTGAACAATATTTAAATTTACAATACCCGAAGAAATATCACCCTCAAATGTTTCATTCCAAAACACAGGAGTAAAACCAAAGTTTACCCCATTTTATCAAGTATCATGGTGATTTTTTAATTTCATCTATTTTATAATTTAAGCAGAAAAAAAAAGTTTTTTCCTGCTTTAGATGATTCTTCTGTCTTATGAAATGAATATTTGTGAGTGATACTACATCACAGGAAGTTTCTCTATATTTCTATAATCACCATAATTATCTAACTCCACTTAGTTTTGTGTTTTAAATATAGAGAAACACAAATGGTTGAGAATAAGATGGACGTGAATCCGTCTGTGAGTCCATACTTAAGAAAGACTAAATACAGTACAGATCACACAAAACCTACTAGACTTGTAACAAGCCTCTTCCAGAGCCCATTGACCTCATGTGCAGAACACCTAAGAGACAAAACAGGCAAGTCAGTGACCTCTGTCCCGGGGCTAGGCTGTAACTCACCTCCATTCCCACATGTAACAATCTCCTACCTAACCTCCAAAGCTTCCAGCTTCTCCTAGTTTCACAGAAATTAATGCTCCTCACTAAGTAGCAAGAAAAGTTATGGAGATACAGATGTGAGAGGTAGGATGAATGCTGTGGAGAAAGCAACATGACCTTGGAGCAAAGAGTTCTGGAGACAAAGCAAGACCAGGGTTGGGGGATTTATTACTGTTATTATTACTGGCATTCTAACAACCAGTATAAAGCTATATCTTTGTGAATTATATGGGTAGCACACTATTAACAATTATTAATAATTATTTTTAGGAGAACGAATTAAAATACATGGATCCCAGGTAAGCAGAATATCTCATCATTTGCCATTTAATATATTTTTAAAAGCAGGCTGCAATTTTGCTAGCACTATCTAAAGGACATGAGAACTCGTATCTGTAGTCCTACATTATCTCACTGACTTGCATTCATGGCTTGTGTGGATGCCTTTTACCTCTTGGTGATTTTAACATGGCATATTAAAGTATGATAATATGTGCTGCAGAGCACATATCCTTTGACACAAATGCTTTGACTGTTGACACAGGCATGCCTGCTTTGTCTAACTCTTTACATTTCTCTTAGTAAAATGAGGAAAAAAGCTGACACAGATTTTTGTTTCCTCTCTTTCCCAGGAGCCTGTGCCTCCCCCACGGTAAGATCACTTAAGACATTGCTTGCCTGCACTCCTTGGGGAACACAATGCTAATGAATGCTCACATCCATCTGCACCACTCATGGTAACAGATGACTGGAAGTGAGCCGGCATCCTTTTACTACCTGGCTCTGTGTGGACTCCTTTATGTTCTAATATGAAAACAGGGAGAACAAAACATGAGCTGTAAGTGTTCACAGCAGGAGCTCAGGCCCACATCTTCAAAATCAACTTGGCTGAGCCCATGACCAAGTCAAAACTCTAGAAATGTTGAATCCGGTTCAACCCAGATACAGACTGTTGGGAAAAAATACCTTCCACTGATTTGTGTTGGTGCCTTAGGCTCTGTTCACCATGATATTACTGACTTCACTGCCCCTTAAATCTTTCTGCCAATTTTTTTTTTTGCTACAAATCTAAATCATGTCCAAAGAATTCAACTAGGATATTACTACTCACTCACACAGAAGATGAATCAAGCTCTATTCCACGAATGTACGACCACTAACAAAAAATTAATCATTTCTCTGAATTTTTAACCCCAAACAACGCCTACCATCAAGACATCCTTCCAACAGGTTATCCAGGACTGACGAGCTTACTCCTCCGTGCCTACACTAATTGCCACAAAAACTATAAAGAAGTTTAAAATATGATTAACATTACGGACATATCAGATTATTCCTCAAGTAAAAATATGAAGTTAGAGCATAAAAGGACAGCGTAGCTTCACATTCCCTCCCCAGGAGCCCACTGCTGAAGGGCAGGTCTGCAGCACAGCATGCATGCACCTCCGGTTTTACACACCCAAGCTCTGTGTGCTACAGCTTCCAGCTGGAGCTGGGCTGTGACTGGCTGGGCCCAGGGAATGGGCAGAGTGTGCCTACACCTGCCAGAAAACACTGGGCTGGCGTTAGCTGCAAGTCCTCTGGGATGAAGAGTATTTTGTCTGTGTGTCTGAACTGCAGCGTGCTCCCTGGCTGGGCCTTAAATACAGCCATATCCACCCAGAAACACCAGCACCAAAGAGTTGTACTGGGCACACAGTAGTGAAGCGCACAGAAAAGGGGGTTAAGTGGCATGTAACACAGTACAGTAATGTCTTGCAAATGTAGAATATTAGCCAAAATACTATTGCTATTGAAGGGCCCCAAGAAGCTCCTGAACCAGAGCTAAGCTCAGCACACATACATTGAAACGCTCTCAGAAAATTCCAGTGGTTTACTTCTTAGCCTTAAAACACAGTCCCTGTGCCCCTACTGCCTCTTCAAATTCTCCTTTGACTTCCCTAGGCCTCTGAAGACACTGCCAAAGCAGTATCAACCACTTCCTCCAGAGCCGAAGACAAGCAGCCAGTGCTTTCACACGAGGAAAGCGCTAAGCCAAGCTCACACCTTTCCAATATCAGCAAAAGTCACAAGGTACGCCTGCATTCCTCAACCTCATTCCCCAAGAACCAAAACACTCTCCCTAGTTAAACCACAAGGCTTTACCTCCATCACACCTCTGCTTTTACTTGAGAAGAAGAAAGAAGTTATTCTTTTGACAGCTGTGAATAATTGGGAGAAGTGGAATTTAGTGTAATGTGACACTAGCAGTTTTGCAAGAAAAAGCTGCCAAAACAATGGTGGAGAAATGAAGGAGTAGAAAAGTAGGCAGAACATTCATGGACACTTTGTTTAAGGTTTGCCCTGCTTTTTCTTACTAATATTTAGAAGGTTTGCAAACAATTTTAAGCAGAAACAATTGCATTTGCTTGGCACAGCTGGTGAACCAAGGGAAGGAGGAAATACACTGACCACACCAGAGAAATAGAAATCAGCTCTACATCCCAAGGACATTTCATTCAGCAAACAAAATGACTAATCTGTAGCCAAAAGTCTTTCTCCAGCCCTTAAGACAAATGAATCCAGGCTACAAGTCACTTCTTGCTCTTTTCATCTTGCCCTCTTCTGCCGTACAACACCCATGTTCATTCAGCATCCTAACACAGCAGCGTGGATGAGTTCTGAAGCACAAACTGCTTGTGTCCAGCTGTATGACCAAGCATATGCATCTCTCTGGTTATGAGTCGCATTGCTATTTTCACACAACATATGTATCCAGCCAGAGGCATACCTGCTCTTGCTTTGTGATCAAAATGCACATTCATAAATGGGGATGGTGGAGGACACATGCTAGGAACACACATCCAGGGCCCGCAGGGTAAAATACTCAAATGTCTCTCAAGGAAAACCTATTGCAGCCAGAAGTTTGGACACAACTGAGCTGTGTCAATCCTGTCCATCCTTCCTTAAATGGTTTAATTTCAGTTCATCTGGACGGAACTTTGATTCATTTTACAAAGGTCACTACAATTCCTGCAAGGGGAAGCTTACAAATCAATGAAATAATCTCCTGCCTATAGTTTAGCGTATACCTAAGGAGTGAGCTCTAAGTATGGGTTGGTGGGATTTTTTCCTGAATGGTGCTTAAATTCTTTCATGGATTAGCTTCCAAAAGCTGTTGGTTAAGACATTTTATTAGCATGAAGTAGCTTCATATTCAGGTGTGTGATCTGATCTAGAGCTGCAGACTTCCCAGTCCCATGACTGATCCCCTCACTCAAGAGAACATGGATTTGAAAGGTCCTTTTATAAAGCCAAATTCTGCAATATAAATACATAGTACTTCTTACTCTGGAAGTAAAAGGCAGCAGCAAAAATCATAATCACCAAACTCCACTTCTCATTGCAGTTATAGATACCAAAATATTTCTAAGTTTGCCTGGGGGTCTCTTTATAGTACTAGGTTTTTAATCACATGAGTAAGAGAGCAGTGGCACAGACTAAGACCACTCATGATCTGGGGAAGGCACACAAGCACTTCACTCAAAATATTTCTCGCCCATGTTCAGTCCAGTCACAGCTTTGTAAGGACAAAACATGAGCTGTAGTGCGGAGGAGTACAGCACTACAAACGTTATCTGCTAGAATGTAAGCAAAGCTGTCAAACCGCAGATGTGATTTAGGAGTCCCATTTTCCAACAAGACTTATAAAATTAAACACATCGTTATTTACACACTCTATAAATGTCGTCATAAAAAAAATAGTAATAATAATAGGTATGTGCAGGATCCTGGCATGTATCTTAGAAGCTTTAGTGTGATTTGAAAGTTTAATGCCTGTGGCAATCTGGCCGTCTGAATGGCAAATCCCTTGGCAAGGCCTGCAAGTACACCTTTATTACCCTTGAACTGTACCATGCACCCAATGTCCTCAATACAAGTTTCACGCATCGAATAACGACCTTGGAAACCAAGCTAACAAATTTTAGAAGCTAACACGGGGCAACTATCTAAACTCAAAACAGTTCCTCTCCTTTCTCCTAGACTTCCTGAAACATTCCCCTAGCAAATTAATTTCCAAATTTCTCACGTCTTTAACCCTCCATGCTGATGTTTTGAGCACAGTCACCAAAAAGAGACTCATTCTCACTAAACAAGTGTTGAAAATAGCTCCCAGAGTTTTCTATACTGTGTTTTCCTTTCATGCTCTCTCTGATTTGGCAAAATAACTCTGTGCCTTTCTCTCTCGCTCCAGAAGGTAAGCTAAGCAGGGACTAAATCCTGCAGCCTTCAAAGTACTAGTCAATGCTTATCCACACTTTATGTTGCTAAAAAACTTCTAAAATCTTGTCTTCTGCCTCTTACAAGATATCTGCTGCTAAAAAGAGCAAGTGTTCACCATACCCAAGACATGTAACAAAGGATGTGACAACCAATACATTGTCACTTTTTGGGGGGAGAGTATTTTCTGACAAACCTTCTTAGGAAAAGAAGATATTCCTGTTGATCAGCATGTCAGAAGGCAGAAATATACCTAAACACCTACTTGAATCAGGAGGAGCACTCTCCATTCCTCTTTTCCTGGTTGTACCTTTCTTCTACACTTTTCATTCTGCCTCTTTAAATGTTTCATTTTTGAAACCCTTCAGTCTTAAAGGAAGTTATCTCCATTTATAGTTGACTTTAAAGTTCATAATAAGACATTCTGGCATGAGATAAAAAGTGCTGAAGAAAGCTGATAGTCATTCATATCTCTTCTCCCCTCCTCCCAGAATAAATCCTTAATAAAGACTTCTCTCAGTTAACACAATGAATTCAGTGAATGCGATTCTTTTTTATGGAAGCCCATAACCTTCTCCTGCAAAAAAAATTATGGAAAAAATAACCAGTCTCTGCACTTCTATATCAGTAATAAAATCCTTCTCTTGCCAAGGGCTGTTAAATTTCAGTGATGATGTAATCAAAGTATTTAAGTAGCAAAACCTATTTTTATGATAATGAAATGGTTTGTATAAAATTCTCTCTTCCAGACATCTATCTGTTAAGGAACTAAACAAAGTAAGTAATCATCTTTGTATATATTGGGACCATAATAACCATACACATTCTATGGCTGCACAGCCTCTCTTGTTAAAGTATTTTAGCCTATTTGATAAAAATACTCTAATGATCATATTAGTTTGGGGTCATAAAAGTATCTTTAATGTGTGTAGCATTTTTAATGCCACTATTTTCTGAATGGCAGGCCAGATCCTGAAGTTGCTTGCAGAAATAAAAACATACATTCAGTGCAATGCTACCTTCCTAAGCATCCACATAAAAGCGTATCTGGGAACTGCCAGATGTTGCAGATGACTATGAATGATGAGCAGTGGGAGAGACATTCTCTTCCAGAGAAACAGAGATTCCACAGATTTTTAAAAGCAGAAAACTAAAATAAGGTCAATAGAGGAGTGTAATAGCATTACTTTGATGCAAATACAAGGCTACCTCAAAAATAAGATGTTCCTTTTCAATAAGAGAAACAAAAATTGACAAATTTTATATCTAGAATGAACCTCATCTGTTATCCCTCAGCTCTTTTCTCCCTCTCCTCCCCTTTCTCCTTACCTGGGGCCTCTTACAAGCCCTGTGCAGCTGGCTGTGTCCAGGGGACAGAACCTGAGAAAGGCGATGGTGGAAAGGCACCTATAGGCATATGTAAAGCAGAAAGCAGTAACTTACAGAGACTGGCAAAGACAAGTGATTTTTTACTTCAGATCCTAATTTCTGTTAAAAAAAAACCAAACAAACAACATTTTAACAAATTCCTTCACTTTCTGCTTGAGCCAATGAAGTAAAGCAGAGGACACAGTTTTAGTATTGAAGGAACTTAGCTATGGCAAGTGGTTTCCTGTAAGATGTATTAAGAGATACAGTCCCTACAATAATGTTCTATTTACTGCACTAACACATTTCTACTGTATTGGTTTTTTATCTCATTGCAAGGGAAAGGAGGACAGAAAGGAACTTCTATGGTATTTAAGCCCAGCCATTTCCTACCACAGTGGGCTGTAGCACAAATCTATAGACTGGTCTAGCTCTAACTTTCAAATCCTTTTAGATTTTCTTCTCCACAGTTCTGAATGGGAAGCTGTCCCAAGCTTCACTCCTCTTGTGGTTAGAAACTCATTTCATTTGATAGATCACTGGTTTGATTGCAATATTGTAATTAACATTAATTGTAAAAAAAAAAAAAAATTATATATTGGCAAGAAAATATTTTAACACAAAATGCTTTGTCTCATCCTAAATACTGACTTATTACAAACAAGATATGAAAACGCCCCCAAGAGCAATAAATATATTACTTCTGTAATTAATATTTCTGGCTGGGCACTGTACAGCTGCACACACCCTGCAATTCCTAACAGGCTCTTAGTTTGAATATATCTCAGGGGAAATACCATGTATCTCATAACACAGAAAAGATAAAATTTAATTTGGATCACTTCCCATTCATGTAGATCTGAAGACACAGTTTCAGTGTAGCCTACAGGAGGAGACAGTGTGCCCTCATCAGGGTTTCATACACCAAATACCAGGTCAATAGGTTTGAGAATAGGACTCCCCTTCTCCAGGACCCAGACAGGCTGTCTGGAAAGGGTCAAAAGAAGCTCAATTGGAAAGGACAAATGAAAACTCCTGCCCCAAGATGGACTGCCCCCCTTGGCAGTAGCTCTGCTCTAAAGGACCTGGGGGCTATAGGCTGAACTTGAGCCACTGGTGTGCCCTTGGGTGGCCATAAAGCTAACAGCGTATTGAGCTGTATCAACAGAAGCATAAGCCAAGAGATCAAGAGAAGGGTCTATTCCCTTTTCCTCATCATTCACTAGACAACACCTGGAGTACTGCACAAGGCTGCAGCTGACAGACAGAAGTTGGTCAGTAAAGGCTCACCAGTATAGCCAGGGACTACAGGGAGTAACTCTCTGTGACATGAGGCTGGTGCGACTGGGCTCCCTTAGCCTGTAGGAGCTGGCTCTGGGGGAATCCAATAGCCTGCCAGTACCTAAGGGATGAATATCAAGGCAGAGCGTGGCACTTTACAGGGTGCACAGTGGAAGTACTAAAGGCAATGATCTTGAAACAAAAGAGGTTTCAACCAGAAGGAAGAAAAATTAATTTTGAGGGTATTTATGAGGGTCTTGGAACAGGTTGCCCAGAGAGGTTGTGAAATCTGGAAGTTTGCAAGACCCAGCTGGTCAAAGCTCATCTCACAGTACACTGCACTTTAAGCAAGAGCTTGGACTAGAGACCAGCCTAGGTCCCTTCTGACCTGAATGAGACTATGAATTTTTAAGTAGCAAGTAAACATGATCCAGAAAGTAATCTTTAAGGAAGGCTCACAGTGCAACATCTACAAAAATAAAACATTCTATCCTTTAATATTTATGTATTACAGTCTTGTATGTAACAAATTAACAAAATCATTACTATTCCCATAATAATACAGAAATACAGTTAATTTATGAACCAAACTCCGGTCTTCAGACACCTGCCTATCATTCACGTCTTTGTAACATAATATGCTGAATTAACACCACATTGTGATTTTGAACAAAGTACCTGCCATGACAGTCAAAATAATTGTACCGTCAGTTAAGGAGCCTGAAAAGAAATGACTAATTTTAATCTTTGGATACTGTATCTCAAGTCAATCAAAATCAATCTCTTGATTTAATACAAGATCAATGAAGGAAAACCATACTGAAAGTTAAACTGGTGCACAAGTCAATGTGAAATGGTGATCACTGCAGTAAACCATTATGTTCACTTATACCCCTAAAAATTCAGTTCTCATTGCCAGGGAATGAGATCAGCATTTAGCCTGAGTTTTTGACAAAGTGATCAGGTATTACTGATTGGATGTCTGTATGTTGTTTTAAAATTAAAAGAGAATTGGGTCTGCTGGGGTAAGTTCAAGTTGGGAATTGAAAGAAAAATATTTACTATGTTATCATTTTATACAGGTATCTGGAAGAGAACAAGGTTAGTATTTAATACTATGGTGTTAATTTGGTTCTCTTTCCTTTATATTCCAAGAACAAAATATTCTGTCATTAAAATTCCAGCTGAAGTAATCAGTATAAGACCCTGACATCTACCCTGCTAAGTAGCATTAGGCTGTCTGGCTCTGTATTTAAATGAGTAAGTGATGTCCCTCAGGTATATGTCTGCTGAGAACACAGAGATTTAAAGTGACCTCAACAGGTGAGGAAAACAGCAAAACAAGGGCAAGTAATTTGGCATTAACTACAGCTATCTGGGAACCAGGGTATCACACTTGTTCTAAGCAAATCAAAGTCTTAAGGTTCTGGGGACAAGGAGAGTGCTGGAACTTAAACCCGAGGGAATGATATCCCAAACAGAAAAGACTGGATCAATCTGATCTGCAGAGAGAACATTTCTCTTCATCTTGCTCCTCTCCCATAATTTGATGGTGAGAATTTTGAAAGAAAGTTTTTTTAAAGCTCTGGGGTTTTAAAGCTACAAAACAAAAATGCTTTGAAAACATGCCAATTCTTTAGATGTACATTCAGCTTTTCAAAAACAGCCTAAGGCACTTGCTGTGTACATGTGCATGGAAAGGCCATTTAAAAAAAAGGTTACTCTGAAATATTTTGAAGATAGATACAGGCTACGTGATTGTATGCTGTTTACACCTTCATGTTAATGAGTTCATAATTTCCTCTGGCATTTCCTTTTTCAGATTAAGGCAGTTTCCTGATTTTCAGCTAGAAATAGTATTGACTGCATTAATACATTCAATGCCTATCTATCCTGTCCTATAAAAAGGATTTATGAACCCTCCATATATTTCTCGTACACCATATTACATTATTAAGCCATATTTGGCATCGGCAAAATCTGTAAGATTCACTATATGCACAAATGTTTCCCACTGAAATTGTCAGCTTACTCATTTCAGCCAGACTGATGCAGCCTACGAGGTTTTCCTATTGAATTGCCTTCTCTTCATATATGAATTTAGTTAATTTATTTCACGGTAGTTACTAGATACTAAGTTACACATTAGAGGAAATAAGTTCTTATACTTTTTATTAATAGTTACAGAGTTGGGGAAGAAACCTGAAATATATTTTCAAGCACAAGAGTATAAATCAAAGCATCACCCTGAAACCAGGTAGGAATATAAGAATTTCATGAGTTTGTACTACATGCTTCAAGGACTAAACATTCTACCCTAGAAAATAATACTTCACTATGAAATAAAAGCAAGATGTCACTTTCTGATGCCATGTAGTGATATATTATGTCTTGCCCTGATGCATGACAAGAACCGTCTTTGGAAATTGCTTTCAAGGTATTGTAATTGCACATTCAATTTTTATCTTTAATAGCGTACTACTGTATTGCATTTTTGCCTCACTTTCCATGATAGGGTGTTAGACACACTGTATAAAGTAGCTCCTCTATCTCCAACCATTTCCTCTCCCTTTTATTTCCTATTTTCAAAGAATACAAACCTGTCCTTTCAAAGGTCAATTATTCTTCCATAGACATCTGCCACAATTGTTCCTATTTTTCTTTTCTAAATGTGCTTTATGTTCTTTTATGCTCTAAATGTGCTTTTTAAAATGTGCTGTAGCCTCCTGACGTACTCAACAAAAACCAAAAGTATAGGATAAAGCAGATGGGAAGAATATGAATGATTCAACATCTTTCCTAGACAAATACTCAATCTTACATCTAGCCTTGTTTACAATGATGGCATTTCTCCAAGATAAAATTATTCTCTGGTGTAAATATGACAGTATTTGTGACCCCTACTATTTTGTTTCTTTTTGTGTGGCACCAGCGGCCCTGTTATGTGAAGTTATTTGGTCGGTGCTCTTCCCAGTGTAACCATTCTAATTAATAGCACAACAAAATACCAGCTGGGTACTCAGCAGCAGTTTAGAAAATCAGACAGGACAGGGAACAACTGCTCCCTGGGTCTTCCTATAGAAGAATGGGGAACATCAGGTGAAATTAGCAGGGAACATGCTCAAAATGAACAAAAGCAAACTGTGCTTCCATACACATGCAGTTAAAATGTGAAACTCTCGCCAAATTCTCTTACGGAGGGTAAATATTTATATAGCTTCAAAAAGCAGCTCATGAAATTAATGGGAAATCTGTCAAAAGATGCCAAATAAAAAATGACTGCCCAAAACTCAGGAAGGCCCAAAGCTGCAATTAGTAGAGGAAGGGGTATTCTGGGGAAGCACAGCTTCTTTAAGCAAGAGCTCTCTAATTTGGCTCTTAAATACCGCTGCTATCAAATATTTTTCTGACTTCACTTTCATTGGTTGTTTTTTTCTAGCCTTCAGTGCAAGCAGAGCTCTAAAAACATTTGCAGCTCAGGTAAGAACTACAGATCGATTTGAGAACTAGACCAGGAGCAGATAAAAAAGAAACAGATCCATGTTTCCATGTGTGTATGTCTACACTGATGATTTCCAATGCACCAAGTTAGTACAAAGGGAATGTTAAAGTAAACCAGCAGAAAACAAGTAAAACAATGACACAGGCAATAGCAGTGAAAAAACAAGCAGTTACTTGCACAGCTACACCCCATGTCCAACCCTGAATGCAAGTGATGAATCATTGTAGCCCCCAAAGCCAGAATAGGATGGGAATTTGGACAAGCTACTAAAGGACGATGGGGAGAGGAAGAGAAGGAAAATTGCCTGGGCATAGAAAGAGCCACAGAGAAAGTACATGCTGTGAGCGCAACTAACTGTCTGCTTTTTCAAGCAGAGATTAAATCAGCTGGGCTAAATGGAAGCTACAGATGTTCAGGACATTATAGAGCGGTTACTATGGGTTTAATGCCTTGTGTAAACAAATAAACTGATCTTTGATGAAACTGCTTTAGATTTATCCCAGATTCCTAGAGGGAAGGACTTGTAGATCCCATTATCAGGCAGGTCTGTCAAATAATTATGTTTGAAAATAGGACTTCCTCTGGACTGTGTGGCTTTACCTAAGGGAACATACTGGAAGTCAACATTAATATTGCTCAGTTTTGGTCCCCGCTATACAAATAAGAGCTGCTGTTAACTCCATCCCAGCCAGATCCAGAACATGAGCATGGCAAGATTATTTTCCACTTCTTGTCCCACAGCTTAAGACATACCAGAAAAAAAATTGCACAGAACATACACAGCACCAGTCACAAAGTAAGCAGGGTCCTAGCCATGGGGTCTCTTTTTAAAAATAAAGTATGTGGGGATAGCCACCAAAAATGCGATGTGAACACAAATGCCAAAATCAGACACTAAGAAGCTGAAGGGTGACATACTCGTATTTTGACAGCTCAAACCGATTACAGAAACAGAATGTAGATGTCTGGTCCCATACCCTTTGAACAGAGATTTAATTTCTGAAGGGACTGATTGCCTGCTGAAGATCATAGCTGTTTGTCTACTGTGATCAGCAGACATTTTTTACCATCTTAAAAACAAATGTAATGCTGTTATAAACCAGAACATGTTAAACGTACGTATGAAACAAGGGAACACAGTAAAAATTATTATTCTTCTGTAAAAGAATGTCTTCCATGTTAAGATTTCTTTAGTATTCTGTCGTATACTATGTACATACAGAATAAACTGTTAAACATGAACAATACATAAAACATAATGAAATACCACTTTGGCAAACAGTGCTGTCTCTTGTGACAGTAACCAGAAGGAAAAGATGGAAGCCATTGATTATAATTTTTCTCATTTACTCCAAAAATAGACACTAGGTCATTTCTCCCACCAGCACGGCATGAAACAAACAAAAATGCTTCCTATTGTAGAGCAGGATATGATGGTTATCTTTATTTAACCATTTTATCCCCATGTCACGTACCTGCAAACTGCATTTGACCTACACATTGAAAGCAAGCCCTTGCTTTTCTCGGGCTATTTCCACTGAATTCTCTTCAGTCTCAGCCCGAGCCTCCCACATTACCCCATGCTTTGTGATCCTGACCCATGTCAGCTCCCCAGTGATCTGGCGAGCTGGGTCTTGCTGGTAAATGGCAGCCCTAAGTCTACAGACAGCAAATCACATTTGGGAGGGCAGTTTTCAGATATGTGCACTCCCTCAGTCAGTTGCCATCCCAGCAGTGGAGTATGAACCGGGAACACACAGCCAGAGACCACCACTTTCACCTTATTGCAAGAACAACCTCACTTCTTGGTCCTAAATTTTTTAATTGGAACAAGCCTCAGAGCACACTGAAGTTCATCAGCATGGCAGAACCTCTGAATCCTTTAAGGTTTCAACAGCTTGGTAGAAATAATGCTAGCTGGTAACGGGATAATAAGGGGCTTTAATATGATCCAACACAAATAAAAGGGGCTCAAAAGGTGACAGTGGAACAAAATTAACCATTTCTTCTATATTTATCATTCTATTTAGCATTTGCTATTAGTAGTTTATCTTTTAACATTTTGCTATGTGCACAAGAACCTGGCAGAGTAACAATTAAAAACCACCAGGAATACAGTGTTAAATCTCTTGGGGCATGAGTCTGAAATCACTGGTGCTGCATTAACACAAGACTACTCATGACTGACTGTTCTAGATTTTAAAGGTTAATATCACAACAGCGTATTTCTAAAGTGTAAATGCTATTCTCGGACTTAATAAAACTGATAGGGTAAAATGTGACTATGACTTAATCTTAAAAAAATACAACTTTTTTCCTTCTGAATTTACTTTCACAGGGTCCATGTTAAATGTAGCAAATCTGTCAGTGAAGAAGTCACCATCTCCTACACAGTATACAGCATGCAAAACTAAATCAAAACGTTCACTTGTAAAACTGGAAATGCAATCCCCTACCCAACCCACTGAAAAGGTAAAAAGCACTTTGCTTGATGGAGACAGGTTTTTAGAAAGCAGGATAATCCCTGTAGGGTACATACCCAGACACTGTTAAGAACTGATGTCTTCTGAAAACCCAGGAAGTTAAATGATCTGGAAGCTGTGGGTATTCAGCACCCTTGAAAACAGTCCAATATGAGCTCTTCAAGCCAAGGATAAGAATTTATATGTCTAATTTGATTCAGATTTCCTAACAGTACTTCTTGACAGAAAAGTGTTACAATTATTTTTATAACTGCACTAACTTGCTCTAAATGCAGATTTGATATAATCTGTTTTCACCAGCCTTTGCTTCTTCCAGCTGTGGTTAATTTCTATACACTGATTATGCTATCTTAAAATTAAGGACTTAAACAAATACGAATGGTACATTGGAGAATATGATCGCCATGAAGCAGAGAAGGCACTGTTACAGGAAAACACTGTAAGTACAATCTGTCCCAAATCCTGGAGTGTAAACTCTTGGAGAAAACATCTGTAAATTGTCCACAATGGCTTAAAAGTTTTGTTGTGAGCTAACCATACAATCCATAATTTTAATCTGTGTCATTCAGGATGAGACATTCTTGGTTAGAGATTGTTCAAAGAAATCAAAAAGTGAACCGTATGTTTTGGTTGTCTATTATGGAAGAAGAGTATACAACATTAAAGTACGTTTTCTGGAAGACAGCCAACAATACGCGCTAGGAACAGGGCTTAGAGGAGATGATGTAAGTAAAATCCCATCTACTGTTGCAAGTCTATTGTTTTTGTGTCACATCTCACAAGTTTTTAATACTAAAGATCAGTGGCAAACTCTCCCACATAACAAACTTGCTGTAACATTGAAGTTTCTTTTACAATACTCTCATTACAAGTGTCCCTCAAGGTTTCATCAACTTCAAAATCAGAATTTAAAAACAAATTTTACATACATAATTAAAAACAAATTTTACATTGACTCAGTTTTAAATCAATGTGAAAATATTCCAAGTACTTCCAGAATACTTCTACCTACTCTACATAACACCTGCAAAGAGGAAAGAAAAGTCCTCCCTTTACAGGTATACATACTTCTTTGCTTATTTTTTAAGTTGCTATAAATACAAGCAGATATTTTAAAACAGATACAACTCAACCTATCTGACAGCAAGGCCTGTGGCTATTATTGCTGCACAGTATTTCTTATTGTCTGCCTCATACACTAAAACAGGAATTATTTTTTTGTTTAAATGAGGAAATAGGACAAAAGTTGTCATGGATATTCAGAAGCAATTAAATCATGTGAGTCGCCACCAACTAGTTTTTCAGACATGGTAAATTTCAATTAGAAAATCCCTTTAGATTAGTAACACTTTTTTATATAATTAAATTCAGTTATATTCATGATGAGTCCAGTTGACTCCTATATGGTTAAATAACATATACTGTATCTGTATGTCTTACACACAAAAAAAAAAGATAAACCTGAAATAGTCATCTCTATAAAGATATGATGTGGGGAGTGAAGGCGTAAGATCTGCATCAGAAAGTTTGGGAACGAGCTCTGAGGCCTTGATGCTTGGCAAGCCCTGGGCCGATGAGCTGGGGCATTGAAGACCACAGAAGGTTGAAAAACAAGTCTTGGGGGGATGGGCCAGGATGTATTTGCAGCAGGAGTCTCAGTTGATGATGTGGGGGGTTGTCAGAGGGTCTGCAGCATTGTGATTGGACTATTTACCTGGAGATTTTTCCAGGGGCCAATGAGACTGAACGTTGTATGTTTGTGCAGGTTGGGAAAGTACCTAACGGGGATAAAAAGGGCTTGGTTGTAATAAAGTTGGATTTGAGTCTCGATTAGGATTTGAGTCTCCTCATCAACTTGAGTCCGTGTCATGACACGCCACAATATGATATTCACAAAAAAATTAGAAGAAACTTAAAGAACGCTCAGCTGCGCAGCAAAAGAGCAGAGCAACAACCGATCAGGAGGATTATTAGCTTTGTAAATGAGACAGAATTCCAACTCAGGGAAAGCAGCAAAGCCTCTGTAGCGGCATCTTCAATTATATCCTTTTCATGTGTGCCAATACTTTAAAAACTTTCCTATAGATAGATTTATAAAAACCCGAAATCAAAACTGACCCAAGCTAATTTAAATCTGGCATGTCCAAGTTTTACATTTGGATTATTACTAGAAAACATGGAATAGGATTCATGAGATTTCAGAGATGAGGGGCAAGGTTTACTGACAAGTTGTTCTTCAGGAACACTGGTTTAATAATGAGGGAAAAAAACATCCTTCATTGTTCAAGCACACCAAAACAGTTTAGGAAGCAGAAGGATAGAACAAATCAAGAACTGTACTGCAGTACTGCATCATCCTGGCATTACGGCAGTGAACCATCAAGGCTTCTGTAAAACACTGACTCATTTCTGAACTGAACCTCCCAGATGATTTTCTAAAGGTTTACAATGATACAAAAGAAAGTTTAGTTTTCTGTGGTTCTTACATTGTTTAGTCTTCCTTTAACAGCCCTGATAAAAAAAAGCTTAACCACAAACGAGTGGATAGAAAAATGGAACTGAAATATGGCACACTACAGCATAATACAGTATGTGTACAGAACACTACAGAGACCTACAACTAAACTTTCACCATTTTAACAACTAACGAAATAGAAAATTACCTGAATAACATGTGAACATTTTTTTCTGAACTAAAAGGAAGGAGAACACAATCCCTTCCCATCTCAGGAAATACCAAATTATATGCCTTAGTTCCAACATGTGCACAAAAATTATGTATCTTGAACAGTAGGTCTTGACTGACAACAGTCAAATTGGAAAGTTACAATTCCAGAATAAGGATTTCAAGCACCTAGTTAATAACCAACAATATATCTAAGACTTGGCTCTACCAGGTCAAATCCTTAATCATGACACATTACCTTAAGCCTTCTTTGTTGACTATTGTTTCTTTTTAATTCAGAAATCCTCCCATAGATCACCTACAGAAAAATTTCAGAACTGCTTTGCTAGTCAGCTGTGGCCAAGGAGCCACAGAGACAACAGACTCTACTTCTGTGCATTATTCTCAGCAGCAGACATGCAAACAGAATTAACTGGGCATGAAGAACATAGGCAATCATGAACAACCAGTGGCACCAACCATGCTCAGAAGATCTACTTCCAGCTCAAGCAGTCTCAAATGATTCACAAAAACTCTTTCTTGAAAACTGCCTCCTAAGCTTCCACAGCTTGCTTAAGATTCTTACCTCAGGGGGTTGAAAATAATTTGTAATGCTGTGAATTACAGCAAAATTGCTGCCTGTACTTTTCCAGCGCCTGTTAAAATCCTTTCCAGAGTGCTCTACATTGTTCCTCCACAGGGAAACCCTTTGTTACACTGCATTTTGCAGTACGCGATGCAGACAGACCAGCTGCTTTATCTAGAATAACTGAATATTCCCTCTTAACCTGCCAAAGAGAAAGAAACCTAAACAACAACAAACAGATGCAGGCCTATTACATTTCTTCCCAGATGGTGATTTTACTCACAGGTTCAGCTCTGCAGTGTTTGCGCTTTTGGATTAGTCTATTTTCATCCATTAAAAATACGTTTTTCCTTACACATATTATTCAAAGTTTTCCCTGTCCTACTGCAACTTCTAATTGTTCATGTACAGTTTATGAGATGTTAACACTTTGTATCATCAAAGACCATTTCTGATTAACAATTATTTTTTAAAACATATTTTGAATTCAATTTTCATGAGAGCTTTCATCATTAGTTCTTATGGAGCCATAAAAGGTCTATAAGACCACAAAGAGGGAAAAAAGCGTTGCCCATCAGACTTCTGTGTTAGAAGAAACTGAAGTTCCATGCAGCTACATTAGTATCAAGCTAGAATATAATGAAATACAATTGGAGAAGGGGGGGACACAGACCAAAACTATGTTAGTAGAGCTGTATCTTTTGTTAGCAGTTTAGCCACAGATGTTCACACCTCCATACATATTTAATGTATTATACTGAGCTCATGAAAGTCCAAACCACATAAAGCTATAAAGATCAGGTCCCAGACAGTCATAAGCTTGGAATTTAAGCATTTACATTCAAAACTGCTGTCCTGAGCACCCTTTACTTGGCTGCTGCCTTCTCTACTCCAGTCAGTTTCAATTATTAAAGATCCAGAGATCCCTAGAACAAAAGCTTATTTCATACACATAGTTCTTTTGAAGAAATCAAAACCTTGCTCACATTTAAAGCTGATCATGACACAAAACTCAAGTATTTCTATCTCCCTTGCAAAACTAGATCTGCCACACACAAAATACATGTTTTAGCGTGTCTGCAGCATGAGGCTGAACTCACAATGCAGTAACTGAAAACAGAAGCCAGAAGCAGGCTCCTCTTCCATTCAGTGCCTGTTTTACAGAGAAGCTTAGAGCACAGCCTGATCTAGATCTCTGGAGCTTGCTGTTCTGGCCACAGATATTTCCTCCATCCTCACCACTCCCTACCACCATTTGCAGCTAATTTTCATTTTCAAACCATCAGTCATACAAGTCATATCATTTTAGTTCATTTCAAAGTCAGTGAAAGGAATTAGCTCCATCTGCCTTCATCAGCCATAAAATTGGCCTGACTCATCAGAACAGATGAGGGAGTACTTTCACCATGCCTTCCACAGACAGGGTTATGTCAAAAGCTAGAAACAAGAAAATGGACTCTATGATCACCTCTGAGGGGATGCTCTACACCTTAAATGACGGTTCCAAGGGTGAACTGTTCTCATTCAGAATGCGCAACATGTAGTCCGGAGTCCTACCACCACCCCAACACAATTCAAAATTACACCTTTCACAAGCAATCCTTGAGACATTATTCCTATCTTGCCAGAACAGTCTGGAGACCAGCAGCTAGGGTATTCCTGTGATAGCAGAGATCAGTTTGAGTCTCTTCAGATAACAAAGGGAAAATAATGAATCAAAGTATTGAATTTTCTTCATCTTTAAATCTAAAAAAGCGTAGGGTGGCATTAAAAGAGCTGAAAACCTAAAATTCTGGACTATCAGTGCTCATCACCATGACATCAAAGTCAACTTCATGTTTTAGCAGCTATGAAGAGACTCAGAGCTTAGTATTTTAAATCTCACTAACTCTTGAGTACAGGATGAAACAAAACAGGAAGAAAAAGAAAACCTAAGTAACATCAGAGACGTTTTTTGTGCATTACCAGAGCTACAACTTAAAGGTACACTAACGAATAACGTGACACAAGCCAAGTGAAACCAAGTTAAATTTCCAAAGCAGGTGAACAATTACAGTAAGACCTTTTACCTTTCCAAACAACAAAAAAAAACATTACAAAATAGGAAGAGAACTGGTACTGATGAAGAGTAGGTTTAAAGAAAATTAGGATTACTTTGGTTTGGCATACAAATCCCAAATTTCCCTAGACGTGTAGTAGCAACAGTGACCTTGAACAGAAGGCAAAGACAAAACAGCAAAGTGGAAGAAATGTACAGAAGTAAAAATTATCAGAAGTTGGAAAACACACTGGTTTGGAGATCAAATAGTCTTCATCTTAAAATAATTCAGGAACAATTTCATCTCATCACAGATTTAACTGGATTCTCATTAGCAAGGTATGGATCAGGTGGAGATGACAGAGACTACTATGAGATACTATCACATACATGAATGCCATACCTACAGTAAATGTGATATAAGACAGATACAGGATAAGTATTAATGTACCAGTACACTTTCATTACTGCGAACAGTTCTAGTGATGTCATACCAATGAGTCTCAAGACTAGCTCAAGAGGAGAAAGGGTGGTGTGATGATAGCTTAGTGGTGTGATGAGAGCATAGGGAAGCGAACCATTTAAGATGAAGCACTGCTACATGTTGGAATGGCAGAATTAAGAGACTCTCACACCAGGACAGATGATGTTAAATACCTCACATAGCTTTCTGCTGCTATTTGATCAGTTCAGGAACCTTGAACCACACCTTTATCATTTCAGGAATGATCTTGGAGGATGTAATTTTTTTGAATACCAGAGAACAACCTTAAAATCCTGCTAAGACCTTTCTTGTTCCAATCCCAAAAAGGGATTTTAGAGCAACTTTCTCAGTAACCTGAATGGGAAAATAAAAGATATTTAAAAAGGTACAAAGAAACCTGCAGTGTAAAGTATGTACTGCTAATTAACTGTAACTTTTGACAGTGAGTAATGATTTATATTTGCTGTATCTTTTCAAAATCTATGATTACATCTGGCATCACAAACTTTTATATGTGATACTGCATTCTCAGGGCTTAGACGTGCTCCCCTTTTGCCCTAAACAGCCAGCTGCTTTCTCCTACAGAAGACATGCACACAAAGGAAATAAGAGGATTAAAATCTGGTGCTTTTCCTTTCATGATTGCTTCCATTTAGTCTAATCTAATCTAATCTACTCACAATTCTAGGCAAAGTATTACCTATTTCAAATACTGTCATTTGCAAGTTTTTTAATGTTCTAGATAAAGCCATCTAGCAATTTCATTTTCAGTCACTGATTAAAATTTTTCTTTTTCCCTCAGAAATTTAATTCTGTGAAAGAGATCATTGACTTCTACAAATGCATTCCCATCACACTAATTGACGGAAAGGATAATTCAGGAACGCAGAGAGAACAATGTTACCTTAGACATCCATTCCAGTTGCGCAGAAGATGTTTTCTGCCTTAATGTCACCAATTTGCTTGTATAGAACAATTATTTGTCTCGAAAAACAGATTAGCCTTTGAGTGAGAAGCTCCCCGTAATATTATGAAACACTCTACATTGCTCCACTGAAAATTCCTCTACAAGTGAGAACACAATTTTTTTTATTTGTTTTTAACTTCAAGGATACAGGTAAAGTATATGCCACTCTATTAATTCACAGGAAATCATGAACAGACCAATACCTTGACAATGATTGAGCAATTTGCTTACCTTGCACTCTACCTTCTAACACAAGATGAAAACTGAGCTCAGTCTTGCTTACTTAAATGTCACTGCAGCTGTTAGAAGCAAAACTTAATAAAGCATTCTAGTCACATTAAAAAGTATTCTTGCTTTTAAAAATACACATGAAATGCTACTTATCCGAGTCCTCATTGTCTAATGACTTCATTCAGTCTAGGCATGTGTTTGCACAGGAACAACCTGTGCTCAGCAGCCACAGAAGTCAGTGGGTGTCAGATGGTGCTCACAGGTATTGGAGCAGATTATAAAACTAGCTTTAATTATGTAAATTCTATTACTTAAGTAATACTTGTTCTTTAGCTTAAGTAGCAGACACTCCATATCAAAGCCTTCAAACACTTGGATAGTAAAATCATTATGCAAACAGTCCCTCTGAATTCATACCACGTGCAAATAATAAGAGATAAAAATCATCAGCAGGAACTGTAGATGCGCGTCAAACTCATCACGAAAGCATGTTCCAGTTAAAAAAATACAGTAATATTTATTCATATAATTTGAGGTTCGGGAGGCTTAACTAAATTAATTTTAAATATGAAGGCAAACTTCAATATCTCTCTGCAAACCATCCATAATCTTCCTTTTTAAGTACACTCAGAAGTTTAACTAGGCAACTGGAATATATCAAGAAAGCAACTTCAGTTACTCTATCCTTACAGAATAGGAACGAGAAGAATAAAAACATTCAAGCCCAAAACAAGACATTCCAGTTAATGATGTAGTATGTAGTGGCACAAACTAACTCTAAAAAAAAAAAAAGAAATCAGCAGCTGGCTACCTCCTCACAACCTTTTTATTTCTCAACGCTGCATCAAAATGCAGAAAAACATTCACTGTAATTATTTCTCCTAAATCACTGAGATTGTTATACCTGAAGGAAATTATTCTGACATGACATTATCTAAAAATGAGAACAAAAATGAACAAAACAGAAGCTGCCAAGTAGAGTTTGGCAGAGCTCATAAAAAGGAAAAGAGGCATGTTGTAAACTCCTTTAAGAGTTTGTATCTTTAAGAGAATGTTCTAATTTTGCCAGTGAAAACTCATACGAAGCAAATTCAAAACTATTTATTTAGCAGCTTCTACAGAAACAAAATTAATTCAGACAGGAACCTGAACTGAAGGAGTTAAAACAAAGGAGTAATTTTAATCATGTTTTTTTTAATTATGTTAACAATTTCAATATTTATTACATGTGACATGCTGTAATTGTAAAACGGAAACTGTTTTCACAACTGAAAATGCAAACAGTACTGTTAAGTTTGGCATCAAAGTATATGAAGTGAAAAAAACCCTCTAGTGTACTTATCTAAAAAAATAGAATTCCATTTGAATACAAAATGAGAACTGTCATTTCATTTTTCTTGACAAAACTGACAAAAGAAAATTTGTTCTGTGGAACAGGTTAGTCTGATACAAATAATACAAAAGTTTTCCGTGTGTACATGATGAAAAAGATCTGTCTTAAAGCACCAACTATCTGAAGGACTTTTAACACTGTATTGCAAAATGATGGCAAAGCAACATTTTAACTAGTTTTGAAAATAAGCCTCAGTCAGATGTAGTTTTAAAATATAAACATTTCAATGCAGACACAATACATACTTTATCAAAACAATGTATAATGTGAAGTATATAAAAAAAATATTCCCAGCTTAAACTGCTTACAAAACTGCACCAACAGTGAAAAGAGTTAGGGACCACGAGCTTTTCAAGTGTAGTCCCAGTTAAAACAGAACACACATCCAGCATTAGAGTCAGTATTGATTTTCTTACCTGTAAAACTGTAAGAAGCTATTTTAACTGTAAATATGTGCTTCAAAATACTGCATCCTATATGGTTTCAAAATTATTTAAAATTGACAAGATGAATAAAAACACATACTGTTCATGTACAGAAACTAACTTCAGTATCATCCATCCCTCTTCTTCACTAAAAACTTCAAATTTGGCCCTGATATAATAAAGTGTTTAAACAGCTGAGTGATGCTTACACTGAAGTCGGTAGATACACATTAGACATACATATGTAACTAGACACATGCCTGTATGAATTAAGACCTACAAAAAAATATATTCTAACAATATCTAAACTCTTGAGATTAAGGATGAAAGATTGCACTGAAAATCTGGTTCAACACTGTCAATGTAAAAGCTGTGCAGCATCATTTCTCATTTTGAAAGTCTTCACCTTCAGCAAGTTCCCACTGTAAATAAGCACTAACTCACCAACTAGAGTTCTAACCAAATGACCAATTACGTAAATGCGTTTCTATCAGGATATACGCACATGGTGATAGAGACTTTATGTTTGGCTATTACTTCCTTAGATTTCAGAACAGCCTTGAGTTCATATAGTGAAAAGCTTCACTCCTATCAGTTCAAGCCTGACAATATTCCAGCTCTGCCTGCTCAGAACAAAGATGGTACAGAAAGCTCACAGCGTTGTGCTCTCTCACATCTACCCAATACAGGCTAGGTAAAAGCTAAGTACTAAACAAAATTAAACTTTTCACTTCTATCTGAGCTAGTGTAACACTGATCCCACAGACTGTTCATTTGCACCCCTGTATCTCCTCTGAAGTCAGCAGAAATGGTTTTGTTTCACTGAAACAGAATACTTCCTTTTAAGTTTTACTTTTTTGTTTGTGGTCCCACCAAAACCTATCATACATAACTGCTACCCACAGAGGATCAGAAGTGCTTTTCAGCACATGTATGCTCAATCTCTGAAACACTATGCTGTACTAAAACAATCTAAACCCTGTTAAATTTACAAAGGTATTGTCATCTAGGATTTTAATCCACACAGACCTAGCACAGACAAGTTACAGCACAGTATCCTAGCACAGACAGAACGGTAACTAGAAAGATGTTTGCATAGCAAATCTTTTCCAAATTTCTCCTATGGACAGATGAAGTTGAATTCCAATACAGTTTTCAAACATGAGAGTGCAAAGTAGTGCTTAATCCTATCAGCTCTTCTGTATTTCTAACTTCACTCTCCCACTTTGCTCACAGTAGACACCTTCTGGGAAAATAAAGCAGTTATTTGAACTTTCCTTTCCAAGCAAGTTAGTGGCACTCAATAAAAATAACAGGGGAACCTTCCACTAGTCTCTCACTTAATGCTTCTGTGATGGAAGAGAAAGAACATCCCAACCCTTGGTTGCCTCTATCAAGTGCCTCTGTCCATGACTTATCCACTCTTCTTGGTCCATATATACTCTTCCACAAAACCAACACTTAAACAGACACTGAAGTGTTTCAGCTGGTGAAGTTTCCACCACTTGATAGTTGTTTTTATGGGTCTTTTTTAGTTTCATTTTTAGCATACTCCGTTTTTTTGCTTGATTTCCTGTCTCAACGTTCTGAAGAGTAAGACGCTTTCGATAACGTCTGATACCAAGACAACTACTTGTCCTTTTTGACAAAACTACTTTCAAGACTTGACCTTTATACTTGTTGATAGTCTTCATGACATTAATTATCTCTGGCGTGTCAACATCAGGATGGTTTAGTACCACAACTGGCTGGTTACGACGAGGGCATTTTATCAACTGATTTGTTCTCAGAGGAATAAGCCGAAGACGTCTTGCTGTCAAAAGATATGACATGTCAGAACTTGAACTATTTTCTGACTGAGTTCTTGTTTTCCTCTTAGGAAGTTCCCTGAGGCTTGCTTGTTTTGCCTTGTTTTTGGGACCTAATTGACTTTTTGAATAGGGTTTGCTCTGCTTACTCACATTACTGCTTTTCTGCAACAGCACACCAGTCTGTTTACTATTATTTTTAATACTTGCCTCTCGCTTTGGTCTTTTCCTGAGTGATATACTTCGGGACTCTGCATTCATCTCATTCTGATTAGGTAAACATGGCAAATTACTGCTAACTGTCTCAGAAACACTGACAGGAACCGGGCGAGGCAGAAACATTTCATTGCAATACACAGAAGGAGCTGATGTTTCACTCCTGTTTTCTATTCCATCTGAGTTTTGACTGCTAGTAGCATTCAGCACTCTCAGCATTGTCCCTTTGGGGATAAACACTGGAGTAGCAACATGTGAATTTTTAGTTACCCTGTTTTTAGATGTACTTGCAAATGTAAGCAGCTGATCTTTACTGGGTTCTTCACTACTCATCACACTGTTTCTACCATGCACTTGAGGTAAAGATGCAGGCTGTTCCACTTCAGAGGCAGAAACAGCCCTCTCACAGCTCGCTGAATTTTCTTGAGGGGAAACCACTTTTTTACTAGAAGCTTGACATCTCAACGGCATGGATTTCATGTTAGATTCAGCAGCAGACATGAGCTGAGCAATCTTTCTACACAGCAATGTTGCTGACTTCTTATTGCATGTTGAGTCATCCCATCTGACACCCTCTGGAACATTTTCAGTCCCAGAGCTAAGAGAAAATACAGATGAAATAACCGGTCCCTCAAAAGGATTGCCTTTATTTTCCATCTTCTGTAGCTCTAATGATTCCAGAAGACGAGTGTTCTTTTGACTTATGGTTCCAGCTCTCTTTACTTTGCTAAAGCTAAAAGTCATGGCCTCACAGGGTGGAGTTTTAGCAACACAGAAGTTTTTTCCTGCTTCAGAAGATGTAACAGATTTTTCATCAAAACCCTTACCAGCTAAATGCATTTCTGTAGAGCTGACTGGCAGCCTCCTACATTCTTTGTCATCCCTCTTTAGAGGCAATGTATCCTTTTGTTTAATGACTGCAGAAGAAGAATTTTTTCCCTCCTGACCAGCCTCTACTGAAGTGTTCTTGGAACTTTCATCTTCAGAAATAGCCGCATATTTTGGAGGGGGTATATCC